AGTAGATTTACTGTAAGGATTAAAGTAGTATTAATGTACTTTCTTTCTGATGTCGCCATCATACTTCATAATTTGTCCGAAGTCGCGATGACAAGGCATGTTGCCATGGTTTTGGACAAGTACTTACACCAGAAAACTTCACCCAGTATATTTTTCCTGTACAAGCGTCGTTGAGAATGGCCTTATCGTGATTACTGAAAAATCGGATTGTAAATAACAGATTCAGTAATCTTGTTTGTTTTAACCTTTTGTTCTTAACAACCACTTAATAATTATAATAATAAAAATGCCACTCGCTTGGTGATCTGGTCTACAAAACGTTTGTTCGTTCGTCATTTCAAAAAACTCCTTAGCAACATCGAACCTGTGTAGACTCTTCTGTTGTATGTGAATATTGCCGCGGAAAAAGGACGACTAAAAATATGACTGGTAATCGACATCGGCACAGACCAGGAAGCTTTAGTTTTAAACACTTTTACAAGTAATTAATCGTTGTTTTAAACAAAATTGTACAAAAACACACAAGTGAAAGACACCGTACAAAGAAATAGGTACATTAAGTCCAAAACTGCATCATACAACTGTTTCAGTTTTCAGTCTAAATATTGAAATCTCCGAGATTACTGAAAAATCAAAAAAATTGTTAAGATCTAGATGGGAGAAAGAAAAACCTATAATTCAATTAATTTCGAATTTTGTATATATCTAATGATGATGAATAAATTATTCTCGTATAGGACAAATACAATTATTACAAAAACAGCAATTAAGTTTACTTCAAATGTAAATCTATCATATTTCTGCTGAATTACTTTTTCTATACTCAATACCAATACATATTGGTGTATATATAACTTGCATACTTATACACAACTGGTCATTACTATGAAATAAAAACAATGGATCAGGGAACTACCTTTTTCAAAATTTTGGTTTGAGTTATCTCCCTTGACCAAAATCCGTGACATACATCATTTCCCATTATATCCTTTATATACTACTATGCTACCGTACTCCCATAAAAACACAACCACTATATGCATGTGAGCCGAGCGGACGATAGAGCCGGCATTTAATGTCATATTCTCTTTTTTTTTTTTTTATATATATATACATACCCTTACTCACTCACTAGCCTCTCGCTGCCCTAATTCTACCATGTATAACAAGCCTTAGGAGAACCAAGCGAGCCACCCAACCTCAAAACCGTTATACGGGATGAGAGGAGGTGCACCAGCCCAAAGTGCTTCAGGCTCCCGAAATAATGCTGGGATTTCAATTGTTCATTGATTTTAAGCACCTGCATTTTAATGGTCTACCATGGTATTTCTACCGGTCGTTAGATACTTTCACGCTTTATATTTCTTCAATACCTTTACTGAAAAGCGAAAATATGTAAATTATATATTCTATACTATATATAAGTGCCTTGTATACGTTTTCAAACCCTGAAACTATAGCAGTCAACTCTTTGGAAGTCCGCGGCTAGAATGAATACCCGATATACCCCTCACGTGCGCGTCGGTACCCTAGTACTCCACGTGGCACGCCAATCATTCTCCTGATTGGTCAGGTACTATACACTGCCTTGCACGCCTTGCGTACATATGTACGTGACCGAAACTATAGGATAGCAAATTTCCGCTATTCTCCGAAACGCGGAAATTTTTGAAATCACTGCGGGCAATCACATATATTACTGAAATTATCCGATAAATTCATAGTTTTTTTTCAGATTCTAATATGGCTGAAAATAATTGTGTCTTAAACCGTATTATATACGTACTTATGGTATTTTTCGTATGTTCAGCCGGTGACTGGCATTAGATTTTACCTTTGACCTTGATATATCTCATTCTCTTTATATAAATGCAAAGTCTATAGAGAATATTTTTCATTCAACAAAAATACGATACATTTAGAAGATCAGCTGTGAGACTTTGGTTAACTTACGTAGATTACTCAGAGCTTTTGACATTGTTAGAATGAATTCGCGGTGTAAACTTCATACTATTTGGAATAGTACTAAAGTATGTTAATCGTGTTCCTTTCGTTATCATTTAGTATATAAACGTGTTTTTTTCAAAATTACAACCATTATTTACATATCCTGTAGCAAACTGATATCGAAGAATTGAAAATATCACTATTCCATGTTTGTAAGAACATTATTGTGGAATGTCTGCTTATCAATAAGTTTTATTGTTGGTTGAAATTTTCACAAAATTGAGAATTCTATATTCATCAGATCAAATTCATTAAAATTATTTTGTATGAAACTTAAGTATGGGACTACTATATAACAATAATTTATTATACATTAGAAGAGTATGTCGTCTTTTCTTACACTGTAGTAGTATTCTTCATCAATAATTTATCTTTCTTGTTTTTATATCAGTTAAATGTAGACTTGCTTGTGCCCAGTTCAAAATAAACAATGTAGCTGTGCGCATTTTCTTAATACCTAAAAGTAATTTTACAAAATTTGAATAAAGATGAAATAACGTAACCCATGGTTTTTTTGCTGGAAATTACAAAATGTACAAAAATTGTGTTGACCTCCAATATCATTACCGCCATAAGTTTTCATAACCTACAAAATCATTAGGTGCTTTTCTCTTTGTTTCAATTACACTGTACTTGAGATATGTTAGCTAAGAAAAGAAAATTGATTTCATAGTTTTTCTTTGTGTTGTAGTGATAAATAATCCAATATTATATATATATATATATAATTCAATATTTTATATACGGTTTATTTATATTGTTGAATAATATACATGTACATTACTTTATGATATTTATAGTCTTTATTTTAAACAGAGTTATGGTTCTTTGCGGTCAATCTGATCCACCTCACTATTCAGACCACCTCGCTATTAAGATCACTTTTGTCCAGTCCCCAAAGTGGTCTTAATAGCGAGGTTTCACTGTATAATGATTTGTTGTTTGACTATATGATTTAGTGCTATATTGTAAAATTTAATTATTCACTTTTTTTTCTATTAAAATGTCAAATATCTAATAACTTCAAATAACATTTAAATGTTTTCAAAATTATCATTAATCAAATATGAGGATTATATATTATATTTTATTAAGAATATAATGTAAAATAATATAAAGTATTATGTGAATCACATGTACAGGTAAATCTCAGGTAAAAGTCCGGATGGATAAAAAGACAGCTAATATGAAATGGAAACAAAACCTCCTATCTTTTAATAAAAGATATTGGCGTCCAACATACATCCCCTAAATTGGTCTTACAATAAATTATTCGAAACTAAGGGATTGGATAAATACCATTGTCAGATTTATAGCACTTTAAATACAAGATGTGCTTACACAAATACTTTAGATTTGTCTATCATATTTTTTCAGGTCACATTTCAAACAATTAGTCATCAGTTGGTAATTTATGAACTGATCTTTAGAACAATACAGAGGCACGAGTGGAAATACAGGAGTGGCCGGTTATCTGGTTCTTGAAAAATAATCTGCGCACGCGCGTTCTGTTTCTTTCTTTCCGAGTTATCTGCTGTAGTGTATAGTTATCCTAACTCTAAAATTTTATTATAATTTTGTCATTTTTCTCTTTGTAAAATTCATCTGCAATCTATACTTGTTGTATACGAGCTAGAAATTATTCGCATGTAATAAGTGAAAAGCTTTTAGTAAAACAAAAATGGATTATTTATAATATAACGAAATAGATGAAAATTTGAAAATCAAAATGTAAATAAGTTAAGCTAACTTTACGTGATATCCGTGAATACAGAGTCAGGAAGTGTCCGTAGTCGTGGAACTCTTCCATATAAAAGCAGATTCAGAAATCGACAGTCAGACTTCGCCTCCTGGTTCACGAAGTCGTACTCGTCCTTCACGCACCACTGGAACACATCTCCGGCCCGGATCACCATGCAGTCGGATTCTCTTACAACGTGTCTTTTGATAGGTAATCGGGAATATGTTGTTCCATTTCCAATTGTTGTATCAAAGAAAAGTGAAAATACCGATTTTATATATGTTTCATGTAATTTTTTCTTGTTTTATATTCACTTTAGTTTCCAAGTTTACAAAACTTTTTTAGTATGAATTTCAATTTATATTTGCGCGAAAACGTAAGATTTTGTATTAATAACTTATAACGAATGTTATTTACCTCGTTCTAATATTAACAATGTCAAATTTTATATATTTTTTGTTCGTGAAAAATTCATTTCTAAAGAATAACTCGTGTTTTAAATTTGAAATGATGTGATATTTCCGTGAAATCTTGTGATTAATATCTTTCAAATCGCACTTAATGTTACAAAACATATGACCTATGTAATGAAACTCATATTCTAGATTAAAATTTGCAGTGCGCAGTACATATAGAAAAAAAATGGGAGCACTTTTTAAACGTCTGAAAATTTAACAGGAAAGCGCTTATGCTTTAATAAGTATTTCCAGTTTTATCATGATCTGTATATGTTACATCTTGATTATTGGTGAAACTCGTGATTTCAAAATAAATTGATTTATGTTGTTTAGATAAGATACATTTTCTTCACTGTGTGTTGTATAGACAATTAAAATTTTATTTTATGTTCTTTTCATAAAATTGATGTAAAGTTTTAATTGATACAAAGGAAACACTTTCGATTCATGACCACCACAGAAAATTAGCTTTTCTCCTTTGTACTAATTACCCCCTTCTTCCCTCCTTACCTACCCTCCTTCCTTCTCTTCAGTCCTTTATGTTTCAATCAAAAATGATTATTATATATATATTGTTACATTGCTTGTTGTTTAAGTATTGGTGTATAAACTATGTAATGGAGAGGGCTTAATAAGTTAGTAAAATCCTATTGTACGAACTTTCTGCAATAAAATAATTATTAAATAAAAAAATCACTAGAAATTAAAGAAAAGGTCATCAATTCTGTTCCTGTGTGAATTTCGCCCTTATGTAAGCGCGATGCCGTACATTTTCCTATTCTATTCCAATAGTAATGCTGCAGTCGTATTGCAATGGTCAGTCCGACTTGACCATGCAGGAGCGAACATTTGGGTCAGCAGTTGTCCAGGCTGTTACTGACCGTATACGAGACAGCTGTATCTACTCAGATGACCGATTGTTCATTCGACGCTTGGCTATTGTCCAGTCGGATGACGGTGAAATGTCCACTACCTATAGACCCGGTTACAATGGCGGGATATGGCAGGTACGTTTATTAATAAACTTATATTTAAATCATATTTTTACACATTTGCTGCTGGGATAATATGCTGACGTTCTATCGACCTTTTTCAAATGTCGGCTGGGAGTTCGTGAGAGCTCTAACCCTATACAGAGAGAGAGGGAAATCAGCGACCCGCGCGTTGGTTGGCATTCAAACGATATTTGTTTCATATGTATAACACACGTGGATCGAAATGTCTCTTCTTTATCTACACAATTTGCAAACATGCAATGTCCCATAATACCAATATACCTACTTCAATTCAACTTCAATAATTACAAGTATTTTCCGTAAAATCTGCAGGAACGATTCTTTCCACTTAGTTAACATTTGACTGGCCAAAATAATAATAAAGATAAAAAAACTCAATTTTCTTATAACCTCAAAAGGTAGGAACGACAGGAGAACACTTCCATGATGATTAAAGCAAAACTATCTTTTATAACCTGTTATGACCTTCAATCTTCATGAGGAATCTACAGTCAGTTGGTTGGCGTATTTAAGCTACAATAAATCTGTGACGATAAGAGAAAATAAAATCCATCTTGTATCTGGCTGTATACTCACTAATGGAACCTCTCAGCTGACCTGACAAGTTCTTTTGTGTCTTTCCATTTTGGTACATGAAATATCCCTTCCCTTATTTTTTCTATAATTGGTAAAACCCAGTTGGTTTCGTAATGCCCTCTCGGACCAAGCAGGCTTGGGGAAATGATGAAGTATGCTTTGTACCAACTGTAGGCCCCCTCATTATTATATTTAATGTTTGATTGCAGGTCCATTGTTTAGAAATATTTCTCACAACTGCAAAATGAAGTGTCCTAATAGTATCTTTATGCCTCCTTTCTGTCGTATCAATTTGCTGTTCCTTTGTGCATGGTTTCCTTAAATAATAATGCATTTTTTTCTGTTGAGGTTGGGCGTGGAAATGAGCACTGTACGCATTCACTTAAAACACACCCAGCAGATTAGAAAATGAACTCTAGCCCTGTTCGGTCTCTGAAATCCCTGGTAACACTTTGTCATAGTCTCCAATTTCACCAAAGGTTTAATTTTATATTGTTTAATGTCCTACCAACAGCTATGATAACAGGACGACTCTATTTTGTATACAGATTGATGAAGCCAAGTTCATTTCGACAAGAAGTTGCGGCTCGTCCGCCATATACCAAGAATGTGGTCTTATTTTGTCTAAATTCAACATCACGTGGTCCAGTGTCCAGTGGACTGACCTTCTGAAGCCTCTGTACTCTGGCCTGGCAGCGTCATTATACCTAAAACTACAAGGAGCGGATCCTGCTCCAGGGGACGTGGCAGGTCAGGCTTCTCTGTGGAAAACGTATTTCCAGCCCAGCCAAGACGTGGCGACATATACGACAAAAGTCCAAAAGGCCGAAAGTGAAACTGACGGTACGTGTTTTACTAGTTACTTACTTCAAAATTATCAAATTAACAAAATTCTGTGCTTTTTTAAAAAAATTTGATAGTATTTGATGACACCTGATGGATCTTGTTATATTTGGTTAAGGTATATGATGCTTCGTCAATAAAAATCAAAAGTCATATTTTGTTTTGATTTTCTGCATATATTTTTTTTTATCTAGATCGGTTACTTCGTAATTCTAGCTTTGATTGAAGTCATACTACCTATGCATATCGACAGTCGTAATGTTGTAACCGGAACTTATTTTGTCACCGTTTAAAAGGAATGAGTTGTTACAAAGGCTATTTTATTATCCCCCGCTTTCACCGGAGATATTTATTGGGTTTGTCCGTCCGTCCGTCCGTCTGTCTGTCACACTTTCGTTTCCGTGTTCTAACTTCCCTAAACATCAACCAATTTGGATGCAACTTGGTCCGCAGATGCATCCTGGGGTCATTAAGACTGAGTTTAACCATCAGTGTCATCTGTTAATAATTATGCATACTAATGAGGTATCCTTTGATTTCATTGGTCGGTTCATTTCCGTGCTCTAACTTCCCTAACTATAATCAGATTTAAATGAAACTTGGTCATTTCATTGGCCGGTCAGTTTTTGTGCTCTAACTTTCCTAAATATAATCTGATTTAGACTTGAAGTCCCACAAACATTATCCAGTCCCCTGTACTGATCATCATATTGTGTGGACTACTTTACCTGCTGATGACCATGGATCTGCTTAGCACCATTATAGTTACTAGTATGCAAGTTTTCTTCAATAAGTTCACTTCATTGATTAATATTTGATATGTCCAATAAAACATCTACTCTCTATAATCCTTTACATCTTTCTCTAGCTTTAAAGCAATACATCATAGTTCAAGAGAATATATCAATCTACAAAGCATAATGACATGTTTACTCCTAACCTCTAAAATATTTACTTACAATATGTTTGCAAATCGGGGGATATAAGTTCCATGAATTTGCATGTTATGTATGATTTCGACTTCTTATTACAATCAAATCCACTTTTTTTTTGGTTAAAATTATTATAAAACAGTCTGGCCACTGTATTTCAATTTCCAAATTTGGAATGCTTCCCGGGAACAACCGTAATCATGTCTCATTTGTATATTTTTTAAAATTTATTTATTTATTTATTTGTTTAATAATTTTTTTTTTATTTGTTTATTTTTTAATTTGTTTAATTTTTTTTTTTGTTATTTGTTCATAATTTGTTTTGTTATATCTTTGTTTCTTAATTTGTTGAATGATTTGTTTATCATTTGTTTATTCGACAATCATCATCTTCAAAGTGTAAATGACGGAAAATTGATTTTTCAGTCAGTAATGACAGTTCGTCCATGAATACGCTATTATACATTATTCTAATATACGCAAATTTTAGGTGGTTACCATGGCAACCATAGCAAACAAATATAATTACAATGGTATCAGGGAAGTATTTCGAATAATTAAGGGATTTATGTGATTCATTATGAATTTTAAAATTCAGTGGGTTGGAGGGTCGAAAAAGGACAAAAACAATGCATAATCATTTTTAAAATTCTGATTTCAATTTCAAGTTGTCAAATTCCCTTTCCCCGTCATTATTTTGTGTCTGATACTTGTATTTTACTAATGAACAAAATATTGTTTAAATTAAAGTAAGTATTCTTCAAAAACATTATTTTTATTCCTTCAATCTTAGTGGGGATTCCAAAGACAGTAAACTGACGACATTGCAATCTTAAATATTGTTCGCTTTGTCAATTTGTTTGTATAATTTATCAAAATATTGTTCGCTTTGTCAATTTGTTTGTATAATTTATCAAAATATTGTTAGATTGGTTAGCTTGTACAGTCTTTACTAGTCACTACACAATTATAAGCTGCTAAACTAAGACACCACAAACCCACTGAAGGGTAGCCATGTGTATACTGACGTCCCATGATTTCATATGATTTTAATTTGCTACCGAATACGCAAAACCGTGATTTAACGTTAAAATATTACTAGTTGGTGGAGATGTTCAAAGGTTGAATTCTAATGACATATCTTCTGTGATTGTTCCAATAAATTACAGATAACGACTTCGGGAGATACAAATTAGATATAAAAACCCTCTGATTAACTAGATCCAGGCATATCTTATAATAAATTAGGAACCATATTATTATGAATTTGTTTCTTCTATACCCCTTGTCAGCATACTATGATCATTTAGAGGACAAAAGATTTATATAAGTAAATTTGAGTAGCAATGCCATTTGGGACATATTAGTGATAAATCACCGTAGCAGATAAATGTGTAAGGATCTTATTTATATAAACCCCATAACTTACAGCGTCTAACTATTATTCCGTAGCATAATTGTTATAAAACAAGAAACTTCCTAAATATCGATTTTCTCAAGTGAACAAAGTTAAATTAACGATGTTCATGACAATATGATTAAGTTAAACAATGGTAAAATAAAAAACCTCTAAACATACAAGCTAGACTAGAATATTGCAAATTTTAAGATTATGTTAATATAACTGATTGTTTTCTGTACTTTACATCCAAAGTTCATTTGTAGCGTCTATTGAATATTTTAATATTTAAACAAGATGACATTTGATAATCTTTTTAAGGAGCTCTGTTCTGATTCAGGTTCATGTGACTACAAACCCATTGATATCGTTTTCATCATTGATGAGTCTGGCAGTGTGGGGTCTACCAACTTCAGGAAAATATTGAACTTCTTGGCAGAAGTTGTAGACAATCTAAACATTGGACCGTCAGCTGTGCAGGTTGGCCTTGTTAAGTTTAACTCTGCAGCAACCAGGGTGTTCTATTTAACAACACATTCCGACAAAACTTCTTTAAAGTCTGCCATTTTGAACACTGTATACCGTAGTGGCGGAACAAGCATCGGCGCAGGAATTCAACACGCAGACAGATACATATTTCCGGTTAAGTATGGCGGCAGGGAAGACGCAACAAAGATTGCAATTTTAGTCACAGATGGTGCTTCCTTTTCTGCTTCGTTTACAAATCAAACGGCAAATGATGCAAAAGCAAACCATATCAGGATCTTTGCTGTTGGGATAGGGAACATCAGAATATCGGAACTAAACTCAGCTGCAAGTGATCCTGACTGCACTCATGTCTCCGTTTTGACCAATTTCAACCAGATCGACGATATAATCTATGAAATCAAGAAAAGTGCATGTAGAGGTAATGGCATTTTATTTCACGGAATTAGGATGTTTTATGACAATCACAAGGTGTTTACATTCTGTTATATGTATTCATCACAACACGAAACAAATTCAAAGCGTCTTCAGTGAATCTAGGGCAAGGTATTTAACCTTGCTAGTTCATTGCACATACCAAAAGAAACATGGAAGAGAAACAGCTCACAAATCATAAGCGTGCAGTATTAAAGAAAATTTGAGAGAAATAATTACAAAGATCCCGTTTAAATATCGTAAATATATTTTTTTCAATAAAACCTCACATTCAACTATCGTTACAAATTACTACTCACGTGCACTCGCATTCCATCAATGGAAATTATTCACTAAACAGTAAACGTTTTGACCTATGTTTTAGCGTCGAACCCAGTAGGACCGGAAGCGGAAGTGGGAGGGGAGGTTGGCGATGGAGATGGATCTACTATTGAGATAAGCACAGAAGACGGGAACAACAAGACCATTACTGTATGTATGTCTTCACACGGTATCAAAACATGCATTTATTTGTTCTCATATTTAAAACAAAATAACAAAGAAACATGTGTTTGATTTCTAAAAGAAAAAAAAATTAATGATCATATCTTTTCGTAGTTTACAAACTACTTCACTAAGATCTGATGAGCAAGAACTCCCTAAATGTTATACTCTTTGATGCTACTTTACAGTGGTGAATGCTTGTTACATCAACATTAAGTTAAAGTGTGAATTTATAATTATATTGCTCTCCTCTCATTTTAGAATATGATTATAATTACTCCCACATTGTCACAAAATAATTTAACTGTATCCTTTAACATTAATTTACAGACTGAGGTTGATTGTGGTGTGCTAAACGTGTATAGCTCTTTTGCTACGCCACATCCAAGCCCAGCGTTCTATGATAAAACAGACACTGCTATAGCAGGCTCGCCGTCTATTTTCGTTGTTCACGTAACCGACAAAAGACCTCTCTTCGTCACGTTCGTCCGACTCAATCCTGATCCTTCCTGTCCTAACGCGTCATATACAGGAGATGTGTCAAACGATCCACCAAAAGATACAGGTAACAATATACCTAATACAGGGTACAATATACGTCACACAGGTAACAATATACTTAATACAGGGTACAATATACTTAATACAGGTAACAATATATATACTACAGGTAACAATATACATAATACAGGTAACAATATACATAACACAGGTAACAATATACATAATACAGGTAACAATATACATAATACAGGTAACAATATATATAACACAGGTAGCGTGATATAAATAACAGATTATTATATACATTTTACAATTTAAAATATACACAACACAAGTAGCGTTATAAATAATACAGGTTACTATGTACATAATAAAAGATACATCTATTTTTGTAAGAATGTTTCTAGAATATTTTTGCTTATAAATGGACTCTTTGTTTAATGATGGACATTCTACTTCAAAATCACAATATCACCAAAAATGAATTGTTCTAGGACATTTCTAATATTTCGGTCAAAATACTGACCCGAAATTTTCAAGTAGCATCTTTTCGTTCAAGATATGTGATAATAAGTATGTTATATAACAAATGTATTCTACTTGACGAGAAACACATGTTAGATTAATATGTTGATGAGTCCTTTTCTAGTGGTATTTTGTAATGCGAAGTTTTCTCTTTGAGGTACGGACATTATATGCAAGGCCAATGGCGGCTGGCGTTTGTGCACTTCTGGTGATGTAGATGGAGAAGACTTTGAAAACATTTGTGGAGGTGTGCATTGTTTTCACTGTCACATGAAATTATGTTTTTGTCGTGTGGCATTTACATAAAGGAGATATGATATGTGAGAGCATGGTTGTCACAATTTTATCGTGTAATAAGCTTTGAAAAATGCTTAGAAGTAATATCCCGAAATTTAAAAAAAAAATCCATGTATACTTGCAATCAATGAAAATCAATATTGATTTTTGTGGATATAATACTAAACAGTGATTATTTTTTTCGGGCTTATATTTTTTTCATTGATATAACACTATTAGTAATTAAATTTTGCGGGCTTATATTTTTTTCATTGATACAACACTATTAGTAATTAAATTTTGCGGGCTTATATTTTTTCATTGATATAATACTAGTCATTAAATTTTGAATGCTTAATTTTTTTTAATTGATATAAATCTATTAGTAATTAAATTTTGCTGGCAAATATTTTTTCATTGATGTAACACTATTTAGTCATTAAACTTTACCGGCTAATATGCTGTTATTGATATAATTCTATATAGTCATTAGATTTTGTGGGCTAATATGGAAAATTTACCTCCAATACAGCAAAATTAATTTCTTTCAAACTTTTATACTTTCTCCGTAATCAATAATAATGCGTATTGTTGTCTGTTTTAGTTTTTGCGAATAACGATTGGAATACCATATCGAACCCCTGTACCAAGGGCGGCGCCAAGTTCCACTCTCATCCGACAGACCCAGCCAAATTCATCACCTGTGACGACTCACAGAAGATGTATATAACACAATGTTCCTCGGGCAAACTCTACAGTAATGGAAGCTGTATACATGCCCACATGATCACAGTTGGAAAAAGTAGTACTCCCGTTGGAAGCCCAGTCGATGCTCTAAGCACGCATTTAATTCTTTGCAGAGTCAGTGGAATTCTTCAGGAATGTCAGAGCAAGGACTTGGCAGAAGACTTCTATGCTAAACTCTGTGATGGTATGTAGACGAACTTCCCACGATCTGTGTTACCGTGAGGAGGCTTAAAACAAGCGAATGAAATTCCATAAACTGACCTAAACACACGAAGAACATTGCTTTAAACTGATTTGGCACTTCTCGCTATTTCTTTATTACTAAAATGATATAAGGAATATGAACATGAATTTGTGTTAAGAGCACATCCCTATTTGTATTATACTTAAACCGATTTTCATAAGTCCTAGATATGAGCCATCACCATTATTGAGTACTGAAAAGAAACCACATCTTTATGGTCATTGTAATGCATTATTTAATTCTTCTTTATCAATCTTTTTCTTTTAGGAACAAATCCACCAATAAAGAATCCTTGTACTTCATGTGCTATTGCTGACAGCCATCTTGTCCATCCTTACCCTCTTGACGACAACAAATACATCACGTGTGATGGGGAGGACAGTCATCTGATCACACAGTGCCCAATCGGGGAGAGGTTTAGTGTTGCCAAACAAAGCTGCATCTCATCGTCAGACAGTGAAGAGGAGGAGGAGGAGGAGGAGGAGGAGGAGGACGGCAGTGAAGGAAACGGGAACTCAAATGATGGTATCGACGGAAATCCATGTACAGAGGCAGCTAGAGCGCAAAACAAATATTACTTTCCATATACACCTGATCGAACCAAGTTCATCCAATGCAATGAATGGGGAGACCGTTTCATTATGCCCTGTCCTTCTGGTGAGATTTGGTTTGACGAAATTTCGTCCTGTGCTGCTGATGCACTTGGCGAAGCAAGCAGTGGAGGAACTTCTGGAAATCCATGTACAGATAACGCCGGGAAGTTAGTGGCTCACTCCAACCCTGCCAAGTACATCCAGTGTGATAATGGTGGTGTCGCGCATATCATGTCGTGTCCGGGAGGACTCCGCTTCTACCCTTCAAAGTCCTACTGTGATTGGTGAAGCTTCATTTATACAATGGATGTTTCTTAAAATAGACGTGCAACTTATTCTTTTTTTTTGTGTTAAATCATTTAATTTTATAGATTTATTATTTCATTGTCCTTGAGATATTATTACTATTTTTGTCTTATCTAAACTGCTAAAATAGACGTAGAATTAAAGTGTCATATCCTCGACACACGAGTCGGTGGTTTCTCTCTGACGACTATCGTGGTGCTCGTCTCTTACATTACCGCGTAATACATGTACTTTCAATTATTACTAAAGTGAGAAATTACTATAAATCTGATCAATTCCAATTTAAGTTTCATACTTGAAATGACAAATATGGATCATTATAATCAAATTGTAACCTAGTGGTAAATATAATCATTTATAGCTGAATCACTTTCAATAACATGTTTCCTGATATTGGTATAGTACAATGTAATGTATGCATGCTTTATTGAATGTGGTGCTTTGATTTTGTTGTTATAGTGTTGTGGAAATAAAGGACCGTAATGTTGACAACATTAATTTCACTTTCAATGGTTCAGACACAAAAACCCTGTACTCATGTATTCCTAAAAATGCTAGGATAATAAAAAGCAATAATATTTGAATTATCTCCCTTGGGTTGAAAATGGTGTCGCACTACCATCGCAGGCTCATGAATATCAAGTTATACCGAATAACTTTTGTTTAGATGATAATCTTTTTAAATTTGTTTTTAAGTTTTGTAATTATTTATCTTATATCACACATGACGGTACTGTATAATACCAATAGTTTGTCTTATTTCCTACCTATTTGTTCTCTTGATTTTGTTATCATGTGTGTGATAGCAAAACTGACTTCAAATTGTTTTGTCCCATTTTTGTTGCCATTATAAATCTGTCTTGCATTTGCAAATATGATCGAAAATTATTAATAAATATATATACACGGAAACATTACTTTAAGTCTTGTTTTCATTGACATCATAAAACGATTAAAAACAACCCAACTCTTGCTCGATTCGCCCCTAATTTGTTATCGCTTTTGTTTCGGAAACAATAGACAATAACTTCATTCTGACTTAAGATATGCAAAATTTTCAATGATTAGCACCACATTGATATGTATATCAATCTTTTCGTACACCTTACCAGACGTTTAACACTGCCACACTGTTTTCTGTTGTCGCACATTGATATTTTCTTAACTTTTCTCCTTTTTTTTTTGTTTTTTTGTGTAGCACATTTCTTTGTGGGATATGAATTGCAAGTGTTTCACTCTCGTTAGTTTGCCTGCTAGTTCCGTTATTGTACACCTTGTTCTCGTTGGAGATCGTGACATTACTTACTTATTGTTTGACCAAAATTTACATGGCGAGTGTCATCTAAATTATGTACTCTTCCGGAACATATGGTGTCATTATACTTGTGCTTTTCAGGAGTCTCCTTGCAAGTATATCTTTTGTTCATATTTTGAATTAGAGTTTGATTATGATTATGCACAAGTGCTGGTATTTTCTTGTTTTATTTTCTCTACAACAAACAGATATGTAAATATTTTTGATAAAGTTCAAAATAGCCACAATATAATAAAATATTTCAAACTAAACTGAAAACAATTACTTCCCAATTTCTTGTATTGTACTTGCATCTTTACAATACTGTAAACTTTGTGACTCTAAATTTGGGTCTACACATTTCGCTTTGGCAAAAGCACACCTACAATAAAAAGATAAATTGATGTAATATAGTAAGCCATCATAAAGCTATATTTACACTTAACAAATTATTTCTTTTTGCAACAATACTCCTACAAAGAACCGGAGATATGACTTCCCCTTTATCAGGGATATATCTATGTGTTGAAAATATTTTTGAACATTTCATGGGAGATTAGGTTGGGACAGGTAAGGGTACTAAACAACTTCAGTTTTTTCGTTTTTACGTGTGAATATCGAATTTTGATAAAATTAATAATAATTGCGCCTCACAAATACTTTTATAATCTAACTCTTTTCTTTAGGATTTGCCTACAAACTGAAGTACGTTATGGTGTATGACGCTCGTTTATATGCAACGATTATAGGAACAAGACTTCAAACGGAAATTTCTGTCACGAATTTATAAAAAAAGATGAAATAGTTTAAAAATCAAATTACCTTAAAAGGTCATCAGCCAGTTATTGTGTACTTACAGATTTTGGTATGTTAGGCCGTCGTTACCACAGTAGGGGTCATGACCTTCTAGCAGGCAGTCAATATTATCGGCATTCTTACAGAAAAACTGCAATAACACATCACAACTTTGTTAATTAGACAGAATTACAAAACTGATAGATGTACTTTAAAATCCGTAGGAGCTAACAAAACCAGACATGAAACAAGCTTCCCTTCAAAAGGCATTCCAACGCTTCACGTATTTAAAAGAAATTAACAACTCATAGAAGTCGCAGTTGTAATTACATTAAAATCTGCAATAAGGCCTACAGTACTATGGAAACAACCTCTTACCTAATAAAGTAATCCACACCACAATTAAAGTACTGTAGACTTATAAGCCCAATAACTTAACATTGTAAACAGTGACATTATTATGCTTTACCGGTTGTTTTGTACGAGCAAGGTAAAATATTGTAACATAACCATTTATTTTTCTAAATTGTCGATATTTCAAACAATCTCCTGCTTTCGTTTGAAGGTGAATGTATACGTTGTACCTGTATTATGACGTCAGGATGTGGTGTTGTTGTGCGGTCCGGTGGCGGGGTACTCCTAATATCATCTACAATACAGCTGCCCACATTAGTGATACCTATGTTAACGTTGGAACACCTGGCTTTAGCGTAGTGGCAACTGTAGACAAATTCAGTTTATTGTTTATTTATAAGCAAGATTATATAAACAATGAAGAACATACTACAAGGATTCTAACATAAGATAAACATTTTTATATCAACTTCTGTCCTTTGTTATATTTACTTGTAGTGACGACTGATGTTACATGTGAAGCCAAAGAAATCAAGTCAAGTCAACTTTGGTATTTAAACACGGAAAGAATGTCTAATGTAGTACCACTAGCATGATCACCTTTAAGTTCTAAAGAGACATAGAAAGACATTTATCACTTACAAATTTTCATACGTTATTCCATCCATGCCACATGTCTGTTCGTCTCCGTGGCTAACATATTCTGTATCACAATCCATGTGTTCAACCTGTTCACAAAGTTGGTCTATAGATACTACGGGCAGACCGGTCTCCCCTCGTTGGATAAGGGCTAAAGTAAAAATGCTTAGTGTTTTTTATCATTATTGTTTCATTAAAACTGTTCATATTAGTATTCTTTTCTATTTTACATAGTGCTCATCTCTGTTACAGATGAATAGTTCTAAAACGTCTATATGTTCAGTGTCGACATAGTATATACCAACATCTCTTATTTCTTACTAATAGCGCTCAGAGTTTTCAACAAATGGTCTCGTATTTGTTTATAGCTGTCATAAAATTTCGTTGGTTGTGAGCAGCTATCCTAAAAATACAAATTAACTCGCATCTATTTCGTAATATATAAACGGATAGATAGTCATCGGTATTTAAAAAAATAAACATAATAATGGATTTTAAATTAGATTTATCAAACAACAGAAACGTTGATGATTGATTGCTAAGAATTCGTAGGTTTTTTGTCCTCCAATCTCATAATTCTCATTCAGATTATTTTAAAATGTCGCTTTATCATTATTTCATATTTGGTATGAAAAAGTGATAGAGGATACAACAATTAGTCTTGATTCATCAATGAGTTAGTTTAAACATCACTTACTTGGATTGACCAAGATTAACATTAGCAAGTGTTGAAGAAGAAGCAGGAGACGCGGAGCCTTTTGAAACGCCTGGTTTATTCTCCTTGTACTTTTTCAATGGATGCATCATTAAATGTGGTTTTTTTCTGGTATTTTACATTCATTTGATTGATTTTTAGCTTTTGGTCACACGTCGATATTTCATTATTCTTTTATAAACAAGTTGTATATAGTCAAATATCAACAACCTCTTCCATTTCTTTCATAGTTGTGATGAAAGACCATGACCTACGGAAGCTGTAGCGAGATGGACAAATAATCAACTATCGTGCCACACTTATTTGGGTACAGGACAGTACTCTAATAGGTACAAAACATAATCCAATTCTCGCTGTTTCCATGGTTTGAGGCACGTGTGCAACTGGATAACTTAAGCTTAAGATTAGGATTAAAAAATAGATGAATGAAACTTATTCCAGACAAATCAATCGCGCCATTTTTTGCTTAATCGCCACACATTTTACAGACTGGTAACATTGATTTTCGTCTGAAAGATATATAAAGTAACTTAATAGTGTCTTACTACAATATAAAGGGGCGTAACTCCTGTAGATCTAACATGATAGAAAAAGGGTTTAAGGTAGTAAGGTAGTTATTATGTATGTTCCATCATGTACAGTGTTTACCTTTATCGTTAGTATAAAAATGTCTCAGCGAAAGAAGAACACTATATCACATTATGCATGAACTATTTGTTTACTTTCCATTTTTAGAGAGTATGATCATTTTTTCTTGTAGTTTTTATGTCTCTTCTATTCCAGTTTGTTTTTCTTATCGGTTTGCTTTCTGATGTTTCGTTGTGTGTTGATGTAAACACATATTCTGGTCCATGTAATGTAAAGAATTCATCAACAGTGTAGTTTAGTAAACAACAAAAAGGATGTTCAGTAATTTTGCTGTGGATCTCTCACCTGTGAATATCAGGAAAAGCAATCCTACTAAATCCTCCATATTGTCTTTATCTACTGACTGGCGACATAGCTGTTGATGTTACACTTAAACAGGTTCATAGAGGAAAAGTCGTGACACCCATATCTGTACATAGGTCGCACTGAACTGATTAGCCTGGCACTTGTGAAAAAGTCACAACTATAAACATTGTTGAAGTACCTGGTTTTGTCTACCATTTCCAAGATGCCTATTTTATTCGGTTTCTCATCTATCTCCGTATCTTATCGTCCGTCTGTTCGAATATTGCCATTGTGTATAGACATTTCCAGACATCTGTGTTTACATCTGTGTAACAAGAAAAATGTGAACAAAAGAAATACATAGAGACTCCTCAAAATGTACAAGGAGAATAAGACCAGGTATCCCAGAGGAGTAAGCGTCTTTTGCTTCACCGACGACGCCCGCCAAACGTACTCTGGTCAATCTTAGTAAATAATGTCACGTTCTCAAATGCGAACAATGTATACAACAACGAAACCAAAAGGCAAACTAATGAGCATTAAACGCGTCCAACTTCATATCGAACAAAGAAAACATATGCCGCAATGAGATCACTATGATGGCCGTAAAACTATAATTTTCATCAAAATACATCTTTGGAACCTTGTGTTATGAGTTTATCCATCTATATCTATCGTGTAAATCTTAAAGTGTAGTTTTCATATCCGGTTCAATGAAAACTTGAACAAAACCTTAATTAATTAGTTGCTGAGACAAAGACAAATCTTAAACAGAGAAAGAGTACTTATGGGATCGTGTGCCTGGTAAGGTAAGTAATTTCTGATTTATTGCTGACAATGTAAATGATCAAATGAGGTAATAAAGCATCTTTAAGATGGGTTACACATCTAACGTGTCTTTCCAGTGTCTTGTAATTATTACCTAATAATTCACAATCTGTCATCAGAAACAGGAAAATATCGGCATGTTTTTATAATCTTGGTTCAAATTAAAAATCGATTAAACGATTGGAAAATATGAACATAAGAAAGCCTCACAGGGAGACCTTCGAAAAATCACAAATTAGAATATCAGCTGTTCCAGAATGGTAAATGTCTACAGCTTGATCGATGACGCCCATCTTTTCAATCTTGGTCGATCCACGTTTGTAATGTCATGTTCCCAAAGGAGACACAGGTTTATAGCAATGCAACGATCATGTTATAGTAGCGGACAGTTCACGTCATATCGCTCAAAGAAAAGACCATTTCGCCAATGTGGACATGGCGAATTTCCTGATAGTCTTCGTCACCTTACATTTCTCGAAGTCTGTGCTATGTATTTGTCCAGCAGTTGTCGATATCTCGGATTCGAGATATAGGGGAATTTTAATATTGACTCGAATGCAACGTGCAAACACCACAGATTTTGCAGGCTATCTGTAAACGGAAATTTCACAATAGGAAAATCGTAACGATCACAATTACCATACAGTTTCGTCACTGGGAAAGGTCGAATAAAGTGGATAAAACCTAATTCTGGTTGGAATATATGATGGAGATGATCAATGAATGTCTTCTTAATTAAAGACAATACAGACAAGACGTCATAAATGTGTATATAAGGGAAATTGAAGGAACTCTTGAAAACGCTAATGGCATCAGCTTTATCAACACCTGTCGTGTGATATCATAATCAAGATGTTTCATAACCTTTTCACGTATTTACTTTCAATGTCACCTGGAAATATATAATTTCAACATGGATTTTCATTCTTAGCTTTATATTATCAATTGCATTTTATTAGTTGTCGGTTCATGAACATATTCTAAATAAATATTTATAATTGGCACGCTTGTTTTAGCTGCAAATTTACAAAAAAAAGTTTTCTTTCCTTTTCATTTTTTTTTATTTTCCTTTGTTGGTTACGAGTCTATATCTGTGTGTGATAGCATCATAACACACCACTATCATAGCAACCATTATTTTTCACAATTGTCATCTTCAACTCAAGATTGAATCGTCGTTGTGTTTTATAAAGTGATAAATCCATTTTCTCATTTTAGGTACGTTTTCCATCTTTGCAGTTACTTAAAGATTGTAGTTCTAGAGTTCTGTCCACACATTTGCTTTTTTGGAATTCACACCTAAAAAGGAAACATTGAATTATGAAATATAAAAAAGAGGTTTTACAAAAAGATGAACATTTCATTTTGAACGGAGATATCAATAGAATAGGACAAAGAAATGGGTGGTACGTGATGATCTTCATAATTTCCAAATTCTTTTTAATGAGTGTAAAAAGACAATTACAATGAAGCTTCTTAAATAATTTCCATGTGATATATTATAATTGTACAAAAGACAAGCAAGTGAATAACACCTTTCAATATAGAATAAGAATAAGGTACGGTAAAGCCAAATGCGTCAAGTAGCTGTTTCATCCTTCTAGGACTTGTCAGTGATGTTAAGGGCCTAAATTTTAAAGTCTATAAGGCGACAGAGAGAAAATCCAAAGGGATAAAAACAATCTAGATTAGGAGGTACGCTTACCTAACGTCGCAATAATATCTAAATATTGATTTTTTCTAAGAGATTCATAAACCATTTTAGCACGCATCGAAACAAAATGCAATACGATTTTAAGAAAGAATGTGTTTCGTATAAAAACGGCTTGGACATTTTTAATGCAATTTCATTAATTTTCCTCTCTTATTTTTTCATGAAACATGAATTTCCGTTTCATCCTGATCCTTCTGATTGCTCTCCATTGTAACGTCATGAAATCATATGCAAGAGTTTTTTTCTAGGTCAACATCATATCATAGAGTCCCAGTAGGTAATACACATAGTGAAATACAACAAAGGTATTTTTATCAAATGGCACGCCGTGTGCACGTGATAAAGATTGTCAAATACTCACACGTTCTGATAAAACTTAAAGTCAGTTCCACACAAAGGGTCTAAAATAGTTGGACATGGGTCGTCCAGTGACGTGTTACAAAATTGTTCGTTTAACTGGAAGTTATACTCGGACGTCATCGTAGACACCTCCGCTAGATTTGTTGTCTCCAATGTCGTCTTGGCTGTTTCAACGTTCGTTGTAACATCATTTTGACATTTACCATCGTACGCTTTATTGATTGTGACGTCATTGCATCGCGCCTGGACATGGAAACATCTGTTTAATAGAATTACAATAATCATTTTACAAAATTAGTTTCCTACAAGCAATTTTCTTATATATATTTATGAAATCATATTTTAACTGAAATTGTCTTTATGCAGAGAATACTGATTTATCTAGATCTTCGGAACACATGATTTGATGACATAAACCAGAGACGCAAAATCATATTGTATACAATGACGTCAGGTATATCAAATATAAATTGATTGTGACGTCATCTAAATTAAGAATATTGTTATCAAGTAAAATCAGTGTCGACGTTGTAATTATGAGATAAAATCCTATACGTAAACATGGAGATGAAAATTATCTTGGAAGAAAGGTGCTAATTTGTGACACTCTGTTCCTGTATTTAATGTAAAAGTCCAGAGACATGCTACATGGTTGATAGATATCCGAGATCAAGTCTGACAAAGTAAGCAAAAAGAAATGACCCTTGTCCATATTAAAGGTCGCTTGACCAAATTTGTTAAAACTTTCAAGCTACTTCTGATGAGCAGAGACGTATATACGTCTCTGTGATGAGTAACTAAAAAGCCCAAAATTTAGCGATAAATCTCACCAATTTTGTTAACAGAAATGACCTTGACCCACAATTTAAAGACATAAGGGTCAAATTTGCCAGAAAAGTCAGCTAGATTATGATAAATCTAGCGTATTCTGTAAAAGCTAATTAGCTTAAGACATATTGCGCATGTCAATGATGTATTCGTATCTGCATTTGAGTGCAAAGGAGGTCCATAACTGAAACTTTTTACCAATGTCGTCAAAACAAGAAAAAAGGGAAGTTTTTATGGTAGCAAATCTAACCATTTGCTCATGTTAGGAAATTGGGCATATTTTACTTACTTGTTGAGGTAAGTCACCCCATCTGTGCCACACAGGGTCTCCTCTCCGTGTACGATATAGTCAGTGGAACAATCAAGACCTAAAACCTCACTACACATCTGAGTGGCGTCAGCAGGCATACCACGTGACACTGATACAACACCTGTGCAGTAATTGCATACGTTATATGTTGGAATACACGTGCATTACGTCAGAGTAATAAATAAAATAATACTAGTATAACTGAAGTGTAACAGAACACGTGTCAGAAAAGTTACCATTTTTTTCCGAAATACTGTACACGGTGACACGTCTCCCAGGATTATCTTCGCCCTATCATACCGCTTAGCAGCAACATTTATCTCACCTTTTCATTTCGCCCTATCAGGCGAAAGTTAAACTAGGACGAAAATTGTTCTGAATACATAATTAAAAACTGAAAATACAGAGTAATTCGCAGTATCTTATTTCCACACTCGCAATTTAATTATATATGCTGTACATTGTATTAAATATATATATATATAAATATTTTCTGTAAGCTTGTGTCATTCTATTTGTTAACCGCGTGTAATATTGTCAAATCATTGAATAAAATACTTTTTAAAACGAACATGAATTTTGATTTTCAAAAACTTACAGGTCTTTTTCATATTTAACATTTTAAATAGTATTTCCCGGAAAGAACATTCTGGTATTTACATAAAACGAAAGCTTGTCCTGAAATTAAACAGTGAAGGATAATGGCGGTCCATATTGACAAAATGGTAAAAAAAATGTCCATACCCTGGACAATGCTTCGAAGCAATGACGATATCGAAAGTAGTAGGTTAGGTTAATTTTGAAGTTTAAACTAAATCTATAAATGCATATGTTGTGTGATGAACAGCTTTGCGTTATATGCAGTGTTACTTGTATAGATTGCATGTAAATAAAAGTATTGTTACTTAAACGCTTCACGTGGGAGAGTTTGAAGAACATTTCTTCACAACATCGAGACTGTTAAAGAAACCTTGGTATACCGCTTGGCCGTCCTGATAAGCTGTGGAGATGTTTATAAGTGTTTATGGTTCTAACTATTATTGTTGCACAATCATAAACATTCCTTTGTGACGCGTCGTAATTCATCTTGTACCTGCCACTGTCCCTTTAAGGAAAGGTCGTGTGCATTACACGACCGCTGGGCGTGACCGAAACTCCACTTCGAACATGTTGAATAAAGCTGAGGTAAATAATCAAATTGAATTATCTGTGATATTTTGGCGTACTTTTTAATCTGAGAGGATTCGTTTTAGGATGGTGATTAGGGCTGAACTCTAATGTCCTAAATCATGACATACAAAGCAAACATCAATTAGAAATAACATTTAGAAGGTTTAGATCAATTGTATACATATCTATAAAAAATATATAAAATATAAACTACTTTAAACCAAGCTTTAAATTTCAACGAACCACCCAAGTAAATGGCGTATTTTGAAAATATTTTAAAATACACACCTTTCGGTAGGTTTTTTTTTTTATCATATTGAACTGTATCGAAGGAATGTACGTGGACGGGGGATTCATCAAATCGATAATATTATCCTTTATTACGATTCATTCAAATTATTCTTTACATGACAACACACATCTACCAATAATACGATATTACCGTCAGCAGACGAATCAGATATATCGAACTGTTAACAAGGGCTAAATCAGAATGAAACATCGTGACGTAATCATTGCATATTAAAATTGAAATAACTTAAGATATTACAAACGAAAATAAAAATAAATTTCTTACCTGATACAACTACATACAGTATCACACTGTAGTCCATCATGCTTCCCCGCGCCGACGTGATCACAATTTGTTAATTCTAAGTTTTATCAGATGTTCTCCAAATGTCTTAATATCGACTTTTTGATAATATTTACACCGTGTCAAAGCTGAAGAGTGTGGCCTCAAATGAAGTGTTTCTTCCTACACTGACACAGTAAATAGAACCTGCTGCAGTAATAAACTACGCGATGTCCTTTTCACGCGCTTCAACTACTAAATTATGGAAATAGTGAATATAAATTTTATAAGAAACGCACATCAGCATTTGAATTGTTTAGGAGATCTCTTGACATCTTTATAAAACATTTTATGAGGAAAGACGAGACTAAGTTGCCAAAAGTTCATATGTGACTTCGTTCAGCAAAACAGATGTGAAAATAAGTGATAACTTGTGTTGAATAACTGTATCTTGTAGAAATAGTATAGGGTCCTTAACTACAGCTGTTAGTCAGCTCTCCAAGCCTTAAATCTCATCAATAACACTGAACCATTGTTAATCCCACCCGACAATAAAATATACCCGGGAAACTGTGAGCGTTTTATACGGGTAGCTCATTCAGAGGATGATATCGGACTTTTTAAACAGGTCTATATACAGACACACCTAACGGATGTACAGCAAATCTCGAGACAACGTAAATATAGCCGTTTCTACTGACGTATGACAGCGTCTAGTATCTTTAAATCAGAGGAGTTTCTTTGGTCCAGATTTTTACGAGTGGTCTGGGAAGTTTATAAGGTCAAGTATCACTTGACTTTATTTTTATCGTCATAAAGTTATATTAGCAACGATTTTGTTTTATTTTAATTTGACTCTGTGTTTATTGATAAGATGAGACTCCACAGACTAATTGAAAAAAACTTCCATGCTTTCGAGTGACAATGAAACACCAATGGAGAAGTCAGACTAAATCCGTGAACATTTCGTCCATTTTCTGTTTTCTTTCTACAAAAACTTCAGAAAGTACCGAACAATGAATGCCGTTGAATTAACTATAACTTTAACGCAATTGATTTTTTATTTTTTATTTTTTGTTTTTTGTTTTTTGTTTTTGTTTTTTTGTTTTTTGTTTTTTTGTATTGATCTGTGATCGTGAAGGAGAGAACATGGACGGGGCAGTTTTGTGTTCGCAGTGAGTTACAGTGCAGACTTAATGAGGTTAAAACATAGAGAAAGAAAATTTGTACGAAGACCTTCGCAAAAGTGCAAGAATAAAAACCCTAATAATGTTCCAGAAGGGTAACCATCTTCTGCTTCGTCATCAACATCAGTCATACAGATCTTGTTCAATCTTATTAAGAAATTATACATTTCCACATGAGAATATGGTAATAACAACAATGAAACTATATAACATACTAACGAGCATGGAACACATTTTATTCTACATTACATAAGGAAATGGAATAATTCCCGATGAGATCATGATGGCACCCTTAAAACTTCCACTTAGCCTCCATCAACTTGCATTTCTCGAAGCCCTGTAGTGTAAATTTATCTGTTGGCTGTCGACAGATGTTTCACAGAATATATGATATTGGGGAAAATGTCCTTGAATATCAAATCAACTGGGATTTTAAACACCGTAAGTTGCTATCCAGAAATGGAACGTTTACTACAGAGAAATCGAAAGTATAACTTTCTCTTAGTTCTGATGTAAAACAATATGGAGTCAAGTCTGTTGAAGAAGAGTATGGTATGATGTAACGTTGATTTCTAAATCTGGTGTATATATTAGCATGGTTAATACTTCTTATCACTACTAAAAGGGGGATTAAATAACTTGGCAACTTATCATTAAACGGAACTCGTTGTTTTACTGTTGGAAATAAAACATTTATATGCACTTAATAATAGAATATTAATAGGGTCATTTTTCACTGAAACTTTTCATGACCAATGCAAACTGAGAAAATATGTTATTGAAAATTGGGAATCAGATTGATAACGATAAACAAACTTGTCGAATTTTAAAACAAGGGGAACAACAATTATTTAGTTTACAACTATAAAGTTCAAGCTATTGTTGGTAGCTACACAGGGCTGACGTCAGTCAAGAAAGATAGTAATGTGAAAACAATGCTCAAAAGCGCGTTATCGAGATAGCAGTATGATCTGTTTAATCCTTGAAGCGATAAACTGGACATCTCACAATGGACAGACAAGTGGTGACCGTCCTTTATCAAAAAGACGTTTGACCCCTGAAACAATATTGCTTTGTCTAATTTTCATTTTTAACTAGCTCATCCTACTTAGTAAGATCTTTTAACGATATTGTTTCCTATTTAATATTTTATTTTCATGTAATTTTTCTGTGTCTTTCACGGGTATATTCAACACGTGTATATATTAGTTGTGTAGTTTTCAAAATGTAGCTTTGTACAGCTTACGCACAATTTTATTTTTTAAAATTTCTGACTATTTTTAATGGAAACAGAGAGAAATGAAACCTTGTCAAAATCAAAAGATTCAAGAAGGACTCTATTGTGACATATATACAAAGCTTCGTTGAGATCAGTTGAAGGGTTTTCGAGGTGCAGCCGGTATAAGCTTGTAAATAGTACACTTTGTATTTCTGAAATCTCGTCAATTATAGATGACATAGCTAGGTAACTATTCTGACATGTGTTTAGAGTTTTGTAGAGATCACTTTAACGTTTTTCAAGTCGTAGCCAGGAAGAAGTTCTACTCGGACGCCTAGACGCACGGACGGCTCCTAATTTAATATCCCCGTACACGGATAACGTCCGGGAAGTTATCAGAGCTAACTGATAATAATGCATTTTGGTTGAGCTTCACATGATTTGATATGTTACTGAATGCTATTTATAGACTATACTTGTTTCTTTATATAATGTCTGGTGTTTGCTTCCAGCCAAATTATGCCCCAGCAACTGATATAAATTCTCTCTCTAAACAGATGAACAAAGTATATACTTTACTACAGAAATGGAGTTTTATTCAGCAAAAACAAAATTAACAGATCACCTTCATCAGACAACCAACCTGTGAATTTGTACAAATAGTCATCAGACAACCAACCTCTGAATTTGTAAAAATAGAATTAGATCGATCTACATGAGCCTGTTTCGGTTAATGTTAAAATTCTTATTGACGTTGCATGACAACAGGTTTACAAGTGTCGTGTGTCGAAGTGAATTGATATTTTAGGTTATATTAACCCCTTGGTTGATTTGATTGAACGGTGGTGTATATTATTCATGACTTCCGGTTTCACTTATTATTTTTCCAAATAACCATCTGTCTCAGAGACCCAAAGAACATATTTCTTAGGATCTAAAAAATTTGGTTATTTCATCAATATGGATAATTTTGTTGACATGTCGGCAGTATCTTTTTCGCGATATTTAAAATATCTCGCATCATAAATTACAAAAACTGCATTTTTTTTCTGAGATGATCAATAAGACACCAGAGATTTCCTCAACTCAAATTTCCGTCCACAGACCGATTTTATCTATTGTGTTCAATTTTCTTGACATGATAAATCAACTGGTATATTTTTTTTCATTCTCGCGTGTTTACTTTGACAAAGAGAAAACGGAAACGAACGGGACATCCCCTTACCTTTCTACACCAGGATAAATCCGCGTGTAAACTTATAAATCTCAGTCAGCGCCAGATCACGTACAACAGCAAAAGTTACGTGTTCATATCAGTATTGTGTGCAAGTTTTTCAGCAGAAATCTACGCCTGTAAATTTAATTCGCCAATCTAATTACATAAATTAGGGCATGGTTGTGTCTGATATTTAAACTAATCCTTTAATACTGTGTTATGTACGAAACTAGAATTATCGTTCGCATTAGAAATATCCTGAGATAGTACTATATCTTTTTTTAATTAGGGACCGATTTCTTTTCCCTACTTATTTATGAATCAATGCAAGTGTCTTTCAGTTCATAAAAATGATAGTCATTCATCCGATAAACTATAGCATTCTTATAACCATGATCCTGTACGTTTTGCTTATTCACAAGTCGTTTGAAGGCTTTCACAGAACTGATTTCTGTGAGTAACGGCGATAGATTATCAATATTACAGGCCAAAAACACCATAAATATCTCGACATGCTCCCAGCGTTTCAGAAGAAGTGATCTCATTGAGATTTTCTTTTTCTTGTGCAATATGACGTTCGATGTGTCTGATGCTCGTCAGTTTGCTTGTTAATTTCCTTTGTTGTTACCGTGTGCTCATTTGAGAATCTTACTATTACTTATATAAACCAAGGAGCAGAAGACGCTTACTCTTCCAGAACACCTGGTCATATCTTCATTGTACTTTTCCAGGAGTCTCCGTGTAAATCTTTCTTTTGTCCACAGATTTCTTTTATTGAATATGAGTTTGGGTTACGCCTATGTTAACATATGGGTATTGTCATAGCTTATTTTCAACCCGACATACATTTGTACCGTCTGTCTTGTGAAAGAAACCTCTCTTCCCGGGAGAACAAATGTGTTTGAAGTAAAGAATTCGAAATTTTCAGACAGAATTCAAGTAATATACATCAATTATATCGCATATTCCGTTTGAATCATGATTTTAATGAGTTTTATTGTCATACTTTTTGTATTCCAGGTCAATTTTACCTCGGAAAAATTGTTGAAAGCTTTCAGATACACACTGAAGTTAGATGTAAACTCGACTTTGGACTTCAAGTTCGACAGGCTTTTAAAAGTTACATAAATAAGACTACAGGTTCAATACACTATTTTCCACATGTTGTATATGGCTCTTCAGTCTGGTATTTATTAGCAAATAAATATCGTCAATGACTTGCTTTCCTGATCCCAATTTAGTCAAATTTACAACTGTGACTTTACCGGGTGTATTCTAAATTTAGAAAATGTGATTTATGATGAAGGATAACACATGTGCAGGTGATATGTTGGAATTCAATACACCGGAAACGATATAAAGTCACTGTCAACTCGTTATAACACTTTGCATCGTCATAAAACGGAACTATCTCTAAA